AGTAATTTCAGAATTTTTAACATTGTTGATCTAGATATGCTATTCTAGACATTTTTAAGCCAAAAATTGTCGATGATCAGTGTTTGTTATGATTGTGACTATTTGTGACCATGTTTGTGATTCAATCATGTTGATTATGTTTATGTCAAGTGTGATTACTTGTGACTTGTGATGAATTATATGTGACCTTTGTTTTACATGTCGTAACCAGCCAATATGTGAAATCAAAAGAATATGTACCAATTTTATACGCATTAAATGTGACTTTGTGACTAGTGTTGCATTCTATGACTATTTGTGACCTATTTTGTGTTAATAGTGACTGTCTGTGACCATTTTTTGTGTTAACTGTGACCCTCTTTAACCAAGTTGGTGTTGAGTATTCTGTCTATGATCATGTTTGTGTTAGATGGGAGTGTTTGTGACCCATAATGCATTGAATGTAACCTATCGTTATTTGTCTATAAGTATAATTTTTGTCAATTTCTTTTTGTAATCGATTAGAATGGAGTTTGTCGAAAGACATGACTAGTAGAATTGTACTTGCTCCTAATCAAAAGAGAAGTTTTGGACGTTCTACTGAGAAGAGGAAGTAGACTGCGTATGAGAGAGCACAAATTGTGAAATGTAGAAGATATAGTGGATTTGATCACAATCTTATGACATACAACATGGTGCCACTTAACCAGAAAAAAGGAAAATTAAAGGCAAAGAAACAGTCAAAGCAATTTAAATAGCTTACCATACTTCTTTTAATAACACTAGAATATTCTTTACAGTTACAAATTCTTTCATTTTATTCACGAACAATGTATTATTGGATAGACTGAATTGACATATTATTCAACTAAGATTTACTATTGATGTAAAATTTTGAATTCAATATATGATATAAAAATTCATGTATTGTGAACAGGTTTCTATATTTCATAAAATCTCAGAAAACTATAATCTATTGAATATGTTATTTGTGTTGTACAAACTAGGTTTAGTTTATCAGTGACTATTTTGACCAAGTCTGTGTAAGTTGGTATTCTCCTTTATCAGGACTGTGTAAATTATTATTGTTTGTGATTAGATCCGTGTTGATTATGATTGTCCGTGACCATGTATGTCTTTAATTGCGATTGTATTTGACCAGGTCTGTTATAACATTGAATGTATATGACCAGATATGCTTGAGCTATTATGTTTGTTACCAAATTTGTGTACTGTTATTGTTTGTAATCAGGTCTATCTTAACTTTGATTGTATATGACCATGTCTTTCCTAAATGTGATTGTCTATAACTTGATCTGTCGTAACTTTGACAATATGTGACCAATCCTGCCTTGACTGTGATTTTATGTAATGTATGTGTTAACAATGTTTTGTGATCTAATACGTGAACAATAACTTTTTGTGATCAATTTTGTTAATTGTGACTATTAGTAACCTTCTGTATTTACCGTAACTCCCTGCGATCAAGTTTGCGTTAATTATGACTATCTGTGATCATGTCTATTTTCACTGTGAACGTTTGTGACATGTAATGCATTCATTGTGACATGTTGTTGTCTGATTGTGAAATATAATTGTCTGACTGCACTTATATTAATCAAAGACCAAACTACATGGAGAATAAAAGAGTAAATGATGTTAAAGTTGGAAGAGTAAGCATTGTTCAAGAGTTGGTCAATCATAAAATACAACAGTTTGTTAATGCCAATGCCATAAAGTGTCTCTTAATATCAGAATCCACTTTGAGATGCAAAATGCCTCCTGCTTACACCATCCATTTCCAACAAATGAATAGTCAAGAAATTTGTGCTCCACTTTAAGAGGAATCAAATACAGAGTCAAAATCAGCACTCGTCCTAAATTGACAGATCTAGTTTTTGTTTGTTTTCATTTTCATCTTTCATTTACACTTTTCATATCATGACCGAGGTAAACTTTTTATGAAATAGCACAATAGCAAAACAAATGAGTATTGTTATTCACCGACTTCAATTCACACTCCATGTCGATGAAGAAGAACTTTTCCTGTCAGTGCTTCTTTTCTTGCTATATTGCATTATCACCGCCACATTTCCTGACCTCAACTACCACCTCTATACCTTCAATCCTACCATAGAATTTGGACTCTTGAAGATATAATTCTTTAAGATGAAAAATTATACTTGCAAATTCATGAATTGATTATAAGGCTTATCAACACAAGCAAAGCAAAGTTACTGCTTCTCCAAGTGTAGTCAAACAGTAGCACAAAGTACCTTGCATACACAAATTTAGTTCGATTACAAACTAAGCAAAACCCAAGATCCCTCGTATAATCACCAAAATTTACAAACAATAATCCTAAAGTCTGCAATAAATATTAAATTAAATAAAAGGCGGGCAAAATTTGCAACCACACAAACATGTACAATCAAATTTGTAGTGTCGCCACCACCACCATACCGCCACCAACAATCCAACACACAAATTCTAGGTCAACATTGGAGCCGAGCCCATAGAGCCCGTTGAATGAATCCTCTTCATTTCATCAAAAAATTTCAAAATCCCAAAAACCACAAATCTGCTCACCCTTGACCTAAAGTTTCAATTTCAATTCATTTTCACTACCACACCTACAATCAACATCTGTATCGACAAAGAGAGGGAGTGTAGAGAGAGAAAGAAGTTGTGGTAGTTTTCACTACCACCTTAATTTTGAATTGTATAGTTTATATGGAGGGCTTGGGCTAATTTTCCCATGCATGAACAAGGCGATTGGAACTGCACTAGTAAAATCTTGCTAATTATAATGAATAGAGCATGTTTGGGAAGAAAATATTGCTTTCATATAAGTTGAATTCCCACAAATTGTGTGACCAAAATCCATAAGCCAAATGAAGCTTGCCTTCACATTTCTAGGAGACCAGTCCCAACCAGTAGGCTCGTCAAATGATTTGCCGAGCCAATGAATTATTTTTTACATTTTTTCACATTCTGATTTTATTTACTCATCTATTGGCCATGCAGGTGGGTTGCCGGATTTTTCCCAGATCCGGCCTCCCTCAGGCTGAGCTCGTGTTCCACCTTGAAAACACTAATTTCAACAGAGCATATGCATAATTGAAATGTTCGATGACTGCGCGCAGCCGCCTTCCACTGGAAGTGAATGGTAATCCTAGCCACCTATGTCTTGCACCAAATAAAAGATGCGAAAAGATTAAACTCAAGTTAATTTAGCTACCATCCTCAAAATTCAATATCTATACAAAAATATATTTAATTTTTCCCTCATTTATTTTATGCACGTACATTTCATTCGTGCACAGGTTTCTAAAACAGGCTGACAGTAAAAGGAATATTGTAAATTGAAAAAAAAATGTAACCATCTTCCTATTCATACCTCTTGCTGCTCAAGTAGTGGACGGAAGTGAGAAACAAATTTGTTCCAACAACATCCTCTGAAGTCCGTTCAACCATCCAAGCCTGAAACAATCAATAATAAATACGGTCATCCTGAAGAATAATAACATTAAAGGAAATCACATACAGCACACCAAAAGGGGTGAACAATCAAGATTCTAGGAACGTAATGTTAATGGTCTAATAAACAAACACTCTAAATAATACCTTAGAATACCATCGTTTTTCAAGCCAAAAAACTAAATTTATTAGAATTTTCTTGTGTCGTTTGGCATTAGTACGAAGAATTTCACCATAAGATAACTCCCGAAAAAGCCATTAGCAAAGCAAAAATTGAATCATTTTTCAGATCAATTGTTTTTCCTGTACCCAAAGGGCTTAATAGTGGTGATAGGTTTTATAACTCTGGAGGTTAAAATGTTAATAATTATCAAACTGATATTAGTTTGGCAATAATCTGTCGGATCTACCTTTCAAAAAAAAATAATCTGTCGGATCTGCAAAAAATAATGGCCTAAAGAGCAGAATAATAACAAGTCAGCAATTTTCTTCAGGAATAACAGCAGGCATCAGATACACAGCGTAAGATGAGACCCATCATGACACGTCCTTCATTTCAAACTTAATCAGTCACGCTTTGGAGAGCTCGCCCAAACCCAGTCAAGAAAGTATGTGCCTATAAAGAATTTAATCATGTTTAACAACAGAGATGACTGCTTGAGCACCATTAAAGTGAAAAACTGAGCGAGAAACCAAAAGAAAGTCACCACAGCCATTAAGAGACGTGTTTGCCAGCAGTCAAGAATGAATGGATTCACCAATTTAATCTAACGGCAATTTCATGCAATAATCTAATCTTTCAACCTGATATTTTTAACATTAACCATTCCCTTTTTCCTCTTCTTTAATGTTAGGATTTTAATTGTACGTAATTGTGCCAACTGCCCATGTCTCAAGTCTGTGCCTGTACTTTTTAGCTTGCATAAGCAAATAAGTACATCCCTCTGCATATTCATATCTGATGTAAATTATAAGGAAACACGTCTTCAACCAGTTAATAATCGTGACTCTTGCACTGTTCATGTTTGCACACGCGTGTTTATAAAAACAATAATCCCCCACCCCAGATTATAAATAAATAAGTACTATAAATATATGTGAATGGAAAGCATTTCATCAATTGATAAATTCCACTCACAACTTATGAAAATGACTTCTAGCGCAGGGCCTCCATTCTTAGAAAAACTGGGCATGACGAATGATAATGGTCCTTAAAGTCATGTGGCACGAACATCTGAGGTCATCAAACACAAGATAAAATATTATTAGGGCATACCTGCAAATCAGCTAGAAAAAAAAAACGTAAATACCGTCGGTGCCTTCATCAAGCGTACCATTAATCTGTTTTAATTGGTCAGTGGCTGTGGAGGAGAATGGGGTACCACTGACACTTTCCCTTGCCTTATCTCTCTCAAGGGTGTGCGTCTGTATTGTGAATAATGAACAATTATATTGCTTGAGTGTTAGACCTTCTCCACTGCATTAAGATCAACAGAGAGAGCAACCAAACTACTCTTCGTGTTTTATAGAGAGGAATGGTTTCAACCTGGATCAAAGCCACATTTGATCATCACAGCGTACAATTCTAATATGGAACTGAAATCACCAAATTGGTCAAATGAATGAAGCATAACCGAACAAATTTGTTGGTCGAGAGAAATGCCATCAACTAACATCACTCGAAGGAAAAGCTTTGCATCATCTACTAAATCTCTTTTGCAAAGTCTATTGATCACAGAGCTGTAATCTCTGATAGAAATTTCAAACCCCATCTCTTTCATTTGATTGAAGAGAACCATTGCCTTCCGAGCATCACCCTTCGCACAATGTGCTTTTATTAGAGTAGTATAGGCAACTTTTGACAATCTAACATTTTGGTCTTTGAGAGAAGAAAATAGTTTATCAGCATCCCTTAGGTCTCCATAAACACATAAACCATTAATGAGAATGTTATAAGTTACATGATTAGGCTGAAGATTATGTCGTAACATCATGTTATGTAACTCAAATGCTCTTTCCAGATATCGAGCTTTACAGAAACTCTGAATGAGAGCATTGTAAGAAGTTTGATCAGGAGATAGACCCATAGCTATCATTTTCCTGAGAACCTGGATAGATTCTTTCAGCTTCCCTTGCCTGCATAGACCTTTCATAACTACGGTGTAAGTTACTCGATTTGCCTGCACAGAACTTGCCTCCATTTCTTCAAACAACTCAAATGTGCTCTCTAAATTTCCCTCTTCACAAAATGCATTCATGAGGGTAGTATAAGTAACAACAGTAGGTTCCAAACCCTGCATCTTGATGTTATTTAAACAGTTCCTAGCATCAGCTAGTTTTTTGGTTTTGCAGAACCCAGATATTAGGGAATTGAATGTGACTATTGTAGGACTAATTCCTTTCAACAATGCTAGTTTATATAACTGCATTGCTTCTCCAATATTACCAAGTTTAGCATATTTATTAATCATAATATTGTACAAGACAATATCCTCCACCAAGTCACAATTTGCCACTTTATCAAAATAACTTCTTGCCTCTGATACTGCCCCTTTCTCACATAGTCCTAATAGACTAGATCTATGTAGAACATAATCTATGGTGCTTTTCTTCAGGCACATCTCCTTATAAAGCTCGACAGCCTTTTGTACTTCTCCCAACTTGCAAAGACCGTGAATGATGATAGAATAAATCATGTGATCTGGTCGTAAACCAGCATTTTCCATATCACTAAGAAATCTTAGAGCTTCGTCTATACGACCACTCTTACACAAACTGCTAAGCAATACACTGTATGAGATACTACTTAGCTGAAGTCCCCTAGAAAGCATCTCCTCTCGCAACCTAAAACCTTCTTCTACATTGCCTGTCTGGCAATGCCCACAAATGAGTATTGTATATGTGACAAGATCTTTGTTTAACCTTTTATGTAGTTTCCTATTAGTAACCTTCCAGGCATCATCCATCATACCAAGTAGACGAAACCCTTTGGCAATAATGTTATAAGTCACTTGATCAGGACCCAATCTGTGTTTCTCCATGTCATTCGTAAAGTCTAATGCTTCTTCCATTGAACCAGCTACGCACAGCCCATGAATGAGAATATTGTAACTATACACATCAGGAAATAATCCACACTTAAACATCATACAAAAGAATGATTTTGCAATATCTACAAAACCCATTTTACAGAATCCTGAAATCAGAGTATTAAACGAAACAACACAAGGCTCTGCCTCTTTCTCTTTAGTTTCCTGCAGAAATAAAACTGCTTCATGTATTAGGAACTGTTTGCATAGACCATCTAGGATAATTGAATTTGTGTATTCACTTGGGCGAATGCCACTGGCTTTAATTTCATTGTACACATCCCATATGATATCAGTATGCTTCAAGTTGTGCAATAAACTATTGTAAGTCATAATTGAAGGCTGGATATCCAAATCCTTCATCTTGGCAAGGACAAAAAGGGCATCATGTACCATGTTGGATCTGGAATAAACAAAAGCCAGCATATCCCACACCATATGATTTGAATCCCAGCCCCTGAAGGCATTAAAAAGCAGCTCACAGAGTGAAGGTGCAGATCCAGAGCCTGGTGGAGATCATAATAAATACATGAACAGAAACATAAGCAATGTAAAGGTTCATCGAGTTGATTGGAAATAATTTTGTTGCATTATCCACAGGAATTAAGAAAACCCAACTATGGTTGCTTAGATTGTGTAAAAAAAAACTCTTTAAGTTCAATTAATTAATAAAAAAGCATCTTGAGTCATGGAATTACATTCAATGAGACCTTAAGAGTCCCAAGTCATAACTAACCTTATGTTAAAAAAATTGTTGATTCAAAATTTCTTTAATATTGTTTAAATAATTCCAACTTGATTATAGATAGATCAGCTACCTATTGAAAAACAAGGTGGATTCTGTAACTTACAAGGTTTCAAAAGAAGAAGGGGCAGAAAAATATATAGAGAAAGAGCCTTAACTATATTGCCAATGAGATCTAAGAAACCCACTCCGCTAATCACTTTCAGAATTTATCAAGATGTTTCCAAATTCACAAAAAAAAAGGCATTTTTTCTCTAAATACGCAATAAAAGAATTTAATACACCAACCACTTTTCGAATTAATATAAATAGATTTCCAGTGAAAAGACAGAGAGCATTAAAAATCCACAGCTTAATGCAACAAACAGTTCATTCTGTTGCACTCAATTCCTTGCATTCATGAACCTGTGCCAGTTCAAATTCATGTAGACGTAGCCCAATTTAAAAAATTATTTCTAAAATCTACTACGTTTTGCCAATTTACTTGAGGTGAGTCCACCAAACATTTTCTGAGGTGAAATCTGTATCATACATTTCTCATGTCAGAAACACCAGGTGCGGCAAGCAGCAGGGTGGGAGAGAAAAGTAAAAATTTAAAATTTTCTAGAAAAAAAATACAATTATAACTGCACTTTCTACAATTATAAATTGTTCATATCTCAATTTAGAACTTCACCATCAGAATTAAGAAAAACCAGAATTTTGACAAAAAAGGAGCTCATTCTATTCAGTCTAGAAATTCCATCAGCAAGTAAGTTCATCCAAGGAAATCAAAAGGAAACAATGGGAAATCATTTAGAAAGACATCTAAAGAGTCCAATTTCGATTCCATAAAGAAACATTTTTTTTTTATGACATTACAAAATACTCCAATTCCTAAGTATTAATTAAGGGCAATATAGATGATGTATCCATTATTTTACATTTGAGACATTCCCAATTCAAAGAATATTATCAAATTTTCCATCAATTAAAACATACCGTCTTCTAGAAGCATTTGATGCAAATGCCTCTGCAGTGCACGGGGACGCTGCTTTCGAGCCAAAATATGGGCAATGACAAACTGCGAAACCCGCGAATGCTTCACTCCTAGCTCGTTCTGCAACAAGAAGAAAAACTTGATTGCATTTTCCGCATTCTCGACACAGAGTTTATTAATAATGGTGCCGATTTCTTCAGGTCCCAGATTAGAAGCTACATTTTTAAACCAATTATCACCACGAAGCGAGTTGAAATTTACTTTAATATTATTGTTACCGCACCAGTTCAGGCGAGTGAGTATTTGGGAAACAGCTTCTTCCGATGGGTTATCCGCTACAGCGGCGACGCTGGTGGAGAAAAAGTTTCGGAATCTTCTAAAGAAGAATGGTGAAAAACTGGGCCATTTCGTGAGTCTGATCATCGCGAGAAAGGGAAAATAGGGTTTAGGGGTTTAAGAGAGACGTTGAGTGTCTTAACTAATGTGTATTAATTTTGGAATATTTGCACTTTTCGTCCCTTACTTTGTAAAATGTAACAAATTTACACTCAACCTTGTTTTTAGCATAATTCATCTACAACCTTTCATTATGTAACAAAACTTGCCTATCTCTTCATTTTGACTATTAAATGACGAGTTTCTCCTTCTCTTTGAGTAAACAAAAATAGAAAAAAAATAGTAAAATAATATTTTAATGACATGTAGCCCCAGTTTAGTGGTTGTTCTCTTTGTGTTTTGAGTTTTGAATTTATTTTGGGTTTTGTGTTTTGAGTGTTTATTTTGATATTGTTGAAAATGTGTTATTTTTGGCATTTAAAAAAATTGTTTTGAAAACACCCAAAACGCGTTTTGAAAATTTTAACTTGATTATAACTGAAAACATCCAAAGTGTTTCCTTTGTAAATTTTTAACTTGTTTTCAAAAACGCATTTTTGAAAATAGAAAAGAGAACGCATTTTCACTGTTTTGGAAAATCGAAAATAGAAAACGGTTTGAAAATAGTAAAGTAAAAATACCCTTAGTTTTGCTAAAAATCAATTTTTTGTTAAATTTTAATAAAAGTCGAAGAAATGTATTGTTGAAAATTTAATAAAAATTGTAAATCCCATAAAATATGATAAAAAATAAGTTTTTTTTTTCTTTTAAAAAGGGATCAAACAGGGCACAATGTTCCCCCATTAGATTACTAATTTGAACATGAAGAAAGATCAAGAAGTTTGATAGATGATATATCTCTGTCTTTGCAGGCAATAGGTTTGCCTCATTCCTCTTGGGAGTGGGACTTTTTAAGTTTAATGTTGGCCCATTAACAATTGCATTGAGATGAACACTTCAACTAAAAGTTTTTATCATGAATATGTATATTTTTAATTGATTTTATTGGCAAAACCAAAGCAGCCCTCTTTGTTAAAAGCCTTGAAATGATAATAAGTTTTGAGATAATTAATTCAGTAATTTTATGTCAAGTTAAATAAAATAAAAAGTATCATCTAGTTGAACAATGGACATGGCACGGTTGTAAAACCCTTGCCCGATCGCAATGTCATGACGGGATGTGCATGTGATGCGCAGGGTAATGCGCACGTTCAGTAGCATGGAAGCAAAGTAACATGTTGGCATAGACGAACGCACATTTGTTGCGTGCATTTGTCAGGAAACAAAGGAACGCAATGCTCATTTACATGATGACAACATGACCTTAGCGGAATGCAAAACTGCGTGCGTAACTACCCAACAATTGCAGTGTCAAGTGAAATACGATTTTTGCGTTACATATTCTAAGTGTTGAGTCAACAAATCAGTGTGTTGGCCCTTCATAACTTGTACTTCGTTCCTTTTCATTGTTGAGTAGTAAAGGGGTTGGGAAAGGTTCATGTAAATTTGTCTTTTGTTTTTACGTCTTGCATTTCTCTCTACTTAGCCAAATTTCATGGGTCTTCTTTGTGTTATTACAAGTTGCTTATTGGGGTCTTCGGTGAAAGAATTGGTATACTGGGATATGAAACCTCGATGCCATCACATGTCGTGACAGAGATCTTCGACATCACTTGTAATAGCAAGTGGATTTATTTTCTAAGAACTAATAAGAATGATCATTATTATTTCATATCTCTATCAAAAGCGTAAGAAATAAAATGGGAACAAAACGAAAGTATTTAGCATTTTTATGTTTTTATGAGGTCTCAGTTTTTCAAAAACTCATATTGAAGGCGAAGACTTTTTGCGACGAACCTACTATTTGCATTTGTTTTTAATTTAGATATGTATTCATATCACATTAAAATTAACCTATGAAGCTAATCTAATGTCGGAGGATAATATTTTTAAATCTAGAAATAAGAAATCCCACCATTTCCTAACCTTGAAGCTTGATTTACTAATGTTGGACGGTTGAAAATAAGTTTTGAAAGAATTTGTGTCAAATATGGGCTTAATAACACTTCCACGTGTAGAATGAATTTATCTTTCACACTTACTACCTACAACCCGATATCTTAGCATACTATAATATCATATTGAACCAACTCGTTTAAAATCTTAATCTTTATTTATTCAAATTCCGGTATTACAATAAGAACTTGGTTTTTCTTTCTTTACAAGTTCCATAATATTTGAAATTCAAGTGTCTTTTTCAAGAAAATATATTACAATCCCACTATACTTTTATTCTTTTGCTTGAAAACCAAGTACCAAATAAAATATATAATGAAAACAAAACATTCATTTCCTCCTACCAACCTTTTGAGGATTGACAATCTCACACTTGAAACCCCACCTTATAAATATCAATAAAGTTCTTCATCATCTGTCCAAATTTAAGTTATAGGGCTATAGATTTTGTTTCTTCTTCAGCATGTCTAAGCAATATTTTAAAAGACATGTTTTGGAAAAGAACAAAAATAATTCTAAAGAAAAAGAAAAGCCAAACTACAATATTTTGTCAAAAAACTTGAAGAAAATATATCCCATTGGACTGCCTAGGACTTGTTCTCCTCTTTCTTTATCTTCATTATCATTAACTTTATCACAGAATTCAACCGATTCTTCCTTAACAGATGTTTCAGTCCCACTTGATGAGAAAATCTCGTTAGCCATCCGCCTGATCGCCCCGGCTGAAAAGAGGGAAGTTCCGGTGGCCAAAGTCGTCCAGCAGCCTATTGCAGATCCTGGTGATCAAGAAGGCTTGAGGAGGTGCAACTGGATTACAAAGAGTAGTGGTAAGGGCCGTTTTGACTTGTTAGGACTAAACAGGGTTAAGAAAGCGAATATGGGATAGAATTTGTCAGTTTTTCTATGGAGTCATAATAAAAAATTGTTTCTAGTTTAAGAAAATTATTTATGAAACAATTAATTCATTTAAATTAATCTACAGATAAAGTCTATGTACAATTTCATGATGAATGCTGGGGAGTTCCAGTTTATGATGATAAGTAAGTCCCTTAATCCATATACTTCTAGTTAATTTGATAATTGACAGTAATTGCTCATTCAAGAAATTTTATCAAACAGTGAGTTATTTGAGCTTCTTGCATTATCTGGGATGCTTATGGATTTCAATTGGACTGAAATCTTAAAAAGAAGACTACTACTAAGGTTAGATTTTCTGCATATACGTTTATATCTGTTAACGCCAGAACGCCTCTTGTGATAGTTCTAGCAGATTACGACGTCAACAAAATCTACTTATTTTGCAAAGATAATTGCCTAATCTGAGATAATGACACAGAGAATCTTTTGCTGGTTTTGATCCCAATCAAGTGGCCAAGATGGAAGAGAAAGAGATCATGGACATGGCCTCCAACAAAGAACTTAATATAACAGAAAGCAGAGTTAGGTGCATAGTAGACAATGCAAAATGCATAACAAAGGCAAGTTTTTTTTGCTCCTATTACGTTTATACATCTTGCACTTAATCATCCCAGTTGTACAACTGATAATTTTGTGGGTCGTGTTGAATTTATCCCAAGTCTAGATGGATCGTATCCCTTGTCCCGGGATATGCTAACTGTACTAGATTTTCGTCTTCCAAATGCAGGTTGTGAGAGAATATGGATCATTCAGTAGTTACATTTGGGAATATGTAAATTACAAACCCATGATCAACAAATTCAGATATCCAAGAAATGTTCCATTGAGGAGTCCAAAAGCAGAGGCAATTAGCAAGGACTTATTGAGAAGAGGATTCAGATTTGTGGGACCTGTGATTGTGTACTCATTCATGCAAGCAACAGGGATGACAATTGATCATCTTGTTGATTGTTTCAGATATAGAGAATGTGTAAATCTTGCAGAAAGGCCTTGGAGACATGTTTGAAATCTCTAAATTATGCATCATAATTTATATAATTTGTATTGTTGTTTATTTAAGTTGTGATATGTGACTCTTGTAGATTGATATACCTTGAGGATTGGAGCTGTACACACTTTGTTAATTTATAATAAATTATTGAAGATTTTTTGATATGTTGTGGACGACTTGTACTGTTTGTTTACCAGGATATACATCTTGATATCCGTGTGGTCTTATTCGTGTTATATTATATCAGTCGGAAGGGAAGGGATAGTTAGGTGTTTAACAATGAGTTGTTATAGCAAAGTGTGGTATATATTACTATCTCTGTCTCAAGTGTACGAGGGCGACACCATTATTTATGTAGGCGAAGAAATCCTTACATGAAGGATGGTCACTTTCTTCTTAATTCATAGACTCAGCACATAGATAGAGAACATAGGATAGAAAGATCTAACTCAAATCATATATTTGGAGCTATCGTGACACGAGATCCCCTACATAACCTATTATGTTAGGAATAAGAAAAATGTTTTTGTATGTGTGTGTGTGTTTTGCACTACTAAAAGATTCAAAACAACTAAAATTCTAACATAGCGGAAGCAAGCAAAATCAAGTACAAAATCATAACAATCATTGGTAATATCCTATATGAGTTGGTATTAGAGCTGGATGTTGCGTATTCAGGTCAATACTAGAGTATTCTCATGGAGTGGGTGGATGATACAAGAACATGCTTGAAACAAGGTTGAGCCCAAGGGAGTCTCATTTCGCACAAGATTATCCCATTAAGAAAATCGAACAAGAATCAACAATTTGCACATAGAGAAGAATGATTTATACTCATTCCTGCTAATAACAAAGTTAGAGATCAAAATTTGCACCACAAAAATACATATAATGATCATATCTAAGAATCAACAAAATAAAATTTTAGTGTAAATAAATTTCAAATCACAACATCATTTTCCATCTTCACCTTCTAAATTTATGTTTTTAGCATTTACAAATTAACATAAAACTAGATTTGATGTCTTTTTTTATGTTTGATGCACATACAGCACCAAGAAATCATATCTTGTTACATGTGCAAATTTAAGTTATCATGAAAATTTATCAAAGCAATTGAAATATATGAACTCTAACTTATATATATCAAGAATTAATCTTACAAAATTTTATAATATTCAAAGCTTTAATGTCACAAATCTCAAAATAATTCTATCTATACTCATAACAAATTTTGACCTCTCTCTATTGCTTATTATTTCATTGTACATATACACATCATCAAGAATTCCAATACTTAAGTTTATTTCTCATGACATTTAGTATAGATGCAACATTTTATTTGTATAGTTAAAAGAGTATATACTAACTTACTTGTATGAATAGAATAAAAATACTACAAAGAACATAAAGCAATAAACAACTTTATTCATATAATTCACTATAGAACTAAACCAAATACATGAATCATTCCAACAAACACTCCTACCATTGACAATACAAACTGAAATAACAAACTTTGTTATGCCCCTGTTTGATGTAGATTAAAATCAGATTTTTTTTTTTGAGATATTTCATAAAAGTTGATGACATATGATTAAAAAGTTGTGAGTCTTATAAAATATGTTATTGGAATTAATTGTTAACTTAACATAGATTAAAATTTCTAATTTAATCCCAACAAACAGGTGCTAAGTAATCTACCTAAGACACTTGGGCCATAAAGTCCTTGTTGTCATCTTGCTTTTTCATCTTAAAAAATCGACATTACCCTTTGAGATGCCCATAGTAGGCCATAAAGTCCTCGTTGTCATCTTGCTTTTTCGTCTTAAAAAATCGACATTACCCTTTGAGATGCCCATAGTTGGCCACAATTAAAACAAGTCCTTTCCTTTTTTTTTTGGAAAAATTTCGGGTGAAAAATTATACCAATCAAACACACTTAATTAACAATTTCTTACAAAACAATTTCTAGACAATTACTTTCAGTGAAATTCATTTTCTTCCCATCCATTTTTCATCCTTGCAATCAAACGAACCCTTATAGATTCTGGAGTTTTCCATTCTCTGAAATTCTCATTATTTGATATTTAAATCAATGAGTCCAAATTCTTATTATTCATGCGCAAATCAAAGAGTTTTTAATATTTAAATTTCTGGTATTCTTATAAATTAACAGAAACTAGAAAGTATCGTGTAGTGACATTCATTTGAAATCAAGGGAACTTCAATAGCGTGTTCGTTCCTTTTGTTCGTTTATTATTTCACTCTCTGCCTACATTAGTTGGTATAATATTCGTGTACGAATCAATGATTTTTTTNTGTGTGTGTGTGTTTTGCACTACTAAAAGATTCAAAACAACTAAAATTCTAACATAGCGGAAGCAAGCAAAATCAAGTACAAAATCATAACAATCATTGGTAATATCCTATATGAGTTGGTATTAGAGCTGGATGTTGCGTATTCAGGTCAATACTAGAGTATTCTCATGGAGTGGGTGGATGATACAAGAACATGCTTGAAACAAGGTTGAGCCCAAGGGAGTCTCATTTCGCAAAAGATTATCCCATTAAGAAAATCGAACAAGAATCAACAATTTGCACATAGAGAAGAATGATTTATACTCATTCCTGCTAATAACAAAGTTAGAGATCAAAATTTGCACCACAAAAATACATATAATGATCATATCTAAGAATCAACAAAATAAAATTTTAGTGTAAATAAATTTCAAATCACAACATCATTTTCCATCTTCACCTTCTAAATTTATGTTTTTAGCACTTACAAATTAACATAAAACTAGATTTGATGTCTTTTTTTATGTTTGATGCACATACAGCACCAAGAAATCATATCTTGTTACATGTGCAAATTTAAGTTATCATGAAAATTTATCAAAGCAATTGAAATATATGAACTCTAACTTATATATATCAAGAATTAATCTTACAAAATTTTATAATATTCAAAGCTTTAATGTCACAAATCTCAAAATAATTCTATCTATACTCATAACAAATTTTGACCTCTCTCTATTGCTTATTATTTCATTGTACATATACACATCATCAAGAATTCCAATACTTAAGTTTATTTTTCATGACATTTATTAGTATAGATGCAACATTTTATTTTTATAGTTAAAGAGTATATACTAACTTACTTGTATGAATAGAATAAAAATACTACAAAGAACATAAAGCAATAAACAACTTTATTCATATAATTCACTATAGAACTAAACCAAATACATGAATCATTCCAACAAACACTCCTACCATTGACAATACAAACTGAAATAACAAACTTTGTTATGCCCCTGTTTGATGTAGATTAAAATCAGATTTTTTTTTTTGAGATATTTCATAAAAGTTGATGACATATGATTAAAAAGTTGTGAGTCTTATAAAATATGTTATTGGAATTAATTGTTAACTTGACATAGATTAAAATTTCTAATTTAATCCCAACAAACAGGTGCTAAGTAATCTACCTAAGACACTTGGGCCATAAAGTCCTTGTTGTCATCTTGCTTTTTCATCTTAAAAAATCGACATTACCCTTTGAGATGCCCATAGTAGGCCATAAAGTCCTCGTTGTCATCTTGCTTTTTCGTCTTAAAAAATCGACATTACCCTTTGAGATGCCCATAGTTGGCCACAATTAAAACAAGTCCTTTCCTTTTTTTTTTGGAAAAATTTCGGGTGAAAAATTATACCAATCAAACACACTTAATTAACAATTTCTTACAAAACAATTTCTAGACAATTACTTTCAGTGAAATTCATTTTCTTCCCATCCATTTTTCATCCTTGCAATCAAACGAACCCTTATAGATTCTGGAGTTTTCCATTCTCTGAAATTCTCATTATTTGATATTTAAATCAATGAGTCCAAATTCTTATTATTCATGCGCAAATCAAAGAGTTTTTAATATTTAAATTTCTGGTATTCTTATAAATTAACAGAAACTAGAAAGTATCGTGTAGTGACATTCATTTGAAATCAAGGGAACTTCAATAGCGTGTTCGTTCCTTTTGTTCGTTTATTATTTCACTCTCTGCCTACATTAGTTGGTATAATATTCGTGTACGAATCAATGATTTTTTTATCAAATAGAATATTTGGTATTCTTGCGCAGAATCAACGAACATTTCACAACATTCTTTGCGAAACAACGCATTTTTAGGTCATTCTTTTAATTCATCATATTTAATGATTTCCCTTACATCAGTTGGTATCGGATTTAAGTTCATTCCTCATAGAGATGGGTCGTTGTTCATGAAATTCAATGCCAAAAATGCCGTTTTGAGACGAAATCTTTTTTACTTCTTCCAATAATTAAAAGGAGAAAGAATCTTTGGATTATAGTTACGATGGTCCCCCAATATTCAATGAAGAAATTGAATAATTTGTTGATCCGGATAATGACAATTACGACGGTCCACCGATTTTCGATAAGACAATTGGTATCATGATTCCCAAGAAGTCATCAGAGAAATTTCAAGCTAGTTTCCAAGGCATTCAATTACTAGAAAACAAATGATGAAAACTTCAAGCATCTCCTATTACTCGTTGTGGGAAATATTTTTGATCTAAGATTGTACAAAGTTGCTTTAAAAACGACGACTCTTTCTGGCCTTTTACAAAATAGTAACAGTAATTAAAAAAAAAAAGAGCTTCTCACGAGATTTTGGAACAGGAAGCCTCTGCACGTCATTTAGTATGTCCCATGTTCCTAAACAGACATAAGGCAATTACAGCACCAAACCTTTGACTATTTCTTTTGGAAGTGAAATAATTTGGACGGAAAAATGGATAGATGATACTTCAATTTTTGTTTCCGTTACTAGACAACGGATGAAGATCCGTTCGAGGGCAAATCTTTTCCAATCGAATATTCGATATTTCTTGCGAATAATCAATAATATTTCATGGTATTCTCTAAATTTTTATTTTTTTTCATTTCAGTCCAAATATGACACTTTTTATCTCGGTATGATCCTCGCGACATCTTTCAATACTTGATGTGCATTATCCCTCTTTGATTCATTTTCGAAAGGGATTCAGCTAAGGGCTTTCGATTATGTATTACTATTACTAAATTAAAAGTTATGATAATCAAATACATATATGTGTTGCCCATTAGAATATTATACAAATATAATTATATCGAAATTGATTTAAGATTTATCTCTTGAAGGCGCTATCATCAAAAGATTTTCGATGTAACTAGTTCTCGTTATTACGAATATCCATCAAATGGGAATAAAATCTCGTGCTATCCTGCCATGCATCTTTGTTGTTTAAAAGTGATGGTACAGATTTCCACATTCTATTATTAATGATTTTGAAAGTGTAATAAAATGGATAGAATGACGACTTACTACTTTATGGAAAATACTTGAAACACAGAAATGTAGATACGCAGAAAATTCGAAGATAGTCGAGGCAAGAGTGTATTCCTTTTTCTGATGAAAATCGAACTCCAAAGTTTATATGTAGAAGAAGTGAAGTCCGCTAGAGCAGGAATGTATACAGAGAACAGACATCATAGATCACTGCTGCGGGCTCACTATGAGGTTATTTACCTTTACTTTTGGAGTTGTAATATTTTGATATCCCGATATTAAGTACCACATCGTACCAAAATTTAAACGAATAATTTATTTATGTCGAACTGTTGATGACATGATTAATCATCAGAAAGCAGCAATTATGTTATGCACATCTTGAATTCGGATGAAATCAGTCCATGACTCAATTCCGAGTCATAACTTACAATTCAAAACATCAACTTGAATGCTTTCGGCCCCACCAGTGTTTTCCTTTGTTCCTTCATAATCATAACTTCAATTAGAAGCATTGCCCCACACACTAAAAACAAGTTGCATAAAATACAAAAAATGGAGGACTGTATACTGATTATCCTTCTTGGTTTGTAGCCAAGCCACCCAAACTATATCATCAAGTGGACACATGTTCACATTAACTTTTTCTGCTATTATTGGTCAGATACATCAATTTTTTTCATATCCCCAAGGATGGAGAGGCCTCGTTAGCTACAAAATTGACTCCTGTCGATGGAGACTTCCACCTAACCTTTTAGCTAACATTGATTTTCATGTTTGAGTTCCGCGTATACGTGCACTTATGGACGTTGAGGCGTGCAAGACCCTCGGGCACACCAGACATGAGACGGTCCAATGTCGGTCATGCTATGAACTAGACCGTTAGTATAGCCAAGTCAAGCCTTGTCGAGCCCCTACAGCCTGCAGGCTACGTGGGTTCACAGCATGCGGGGGCCCATATTTTAAAAAGGGAAAAAATTACTATGCAAACATATGCATAAAAACAAAAATAGTTGTAACGTCGTGTAGACCCCTCCAGGTATCGAACAGCTCAAAAATAAGATGTTGGGTGTATTAAATGAAATGAAAAAGAAGAATTTATCGACTAATATCAAAAGACATTTGATCATGACATCATGCTCGAAAAATGCGGGTACAACTGGAAACCAAGAGTTCATCAGAACATATCAACTCAGAAATACAGTATTTGACTCTCCAATATACTGAATGGCCAAGTGATCGGAAGCAGTCAGCAACAATCGAGCTTCCATCACCGATTCATAAATAAACAAACAAATTTTTTCACACTCAATTAACTTTGTTGTAAGATGTTCTAATTTAAAGAAGAAAATTCCACGATCCGCTGTCAAAATTAACTGCTGAAATGATCAACACAGAATAAAGTAGACAGTGATTCAAACATGTATACCGAGGATTCTCAAGTATTTACAAAATAGATTTTTCCTTGGTAAGATTTTGTTCTACAAATTATTTATCAAACAACATAGAGGAGAGGGAAAAAATCAACGAACAAACAAAACTACAGATTCTTCTACGTAGATGACACAGAATATTTACAGCAGTCTCTTACTGCTACTTCCACCTATCACAACTTCCGGGGTAAAGCATAAACCAAAGCTACCAACAAATCCTAAAACAAGCCTGCAGAACTCGTTCTCTTCGGTTGTCATGGTAATGCAAAACCACTCTCAAAACTGGCAAGAAGTCCCGAGCCTGAGCCTCTGCCTCTGCCTTTGGCCAAGGGTGACAGACTTGCGCTTGTCAAATGCAGGGTAAAGCAGCTCTTGGAATTTCTCCAGAAACAGTGCCCATTCTTCCTCGTTCATGTCTGCTAGCTTCACGAAGCTCACACTCGCAGGAAGCTGCTCATTTGCACTCCTGTGGCCTGATGATGAACCGGCAAGATAGCCATGATCGGGCTTTGCTCCTGAAAAATTTGGGAACTTTTGGTTCTTCTCACCTAAGATAGTGTGTTTGAGTGACGTGGATAGGTTTGAAATGGTAGGGATCCTTTCAAGGATTGGGACTCCAACGAATTCCTTTTCCTCGTCTTCTCTCTCACTTTCCTCTTCCTCGTCCTCTTCAATGCTTTCCTCTAGTTTATATAAGGCAGTGCGGCCATTAACGCCTCCAAATCCAAAATGAAAGGATGTTCCTGCCATGAAGTCCTCAGAGGCCATTTTGGGGGTAAAATCAGACCTGCCATCTTCATAATCTATGTCAAATTGAAACTCTTCAACATCAGCTCGAGCCTTGGGAGACATGTCCTCTGCAACCTGCCTTTTTGCTTCCATGCATACAACCTCAAGCTCACTAGGTTCCTCTTCACCACTGCGAAACTCGCGACTCATCATCTCACCTATCTCAGCAAGACACAGCCCATTGACAGCAGCTTCTTTGAGGAAAATTGTGCATAAGACCAGGACTCGCAGACAAGCCTCTCGAATCATGGGGAGTTCACTTCGCAGCATCTCTGAATCTGTAATAGGATCAAGATTTTTTATATACTCAAGCTCGTCATCTGAAAATGGGATTGATGCTTGAGGCCAATGGATCCATTCAAAATATGGATCTTCCAAACATTCTGGCAAGCAGAGGCCATGATCAATAGGTATAAGTTCCACTTGACCAAACCTGCCAACACCGTCGAGCTTCCTTACTAAAAGATTACCTGCATGCCTATCCGTGTTAAGAATCCTAATGTCTAGTATCCCAATACGATGCACAGCAGCAACTGGGAAACTTGAGGTTCCATGGTCACTGGCATCAAAATCATGTGGAATGAACTGTTGAAAAGAAGCAATCTTGCTAACATGCGTCTTGTTTTGAGGCTTGTTTCCATTCACACCATCATTGACGTTGAAGATTGAGTGAGTGATCTTCACCAATGCAGTAGGTGGTACATTTGCAAAATGATCATAGTCAAGAAGAAAAGCAGCCACTTCTCTGAACCCCGTTTCTCCAACCCGCACAGAACGCTTTAAGCCAGGTTGCCCAAGAGCTTTTCCAACAAAACCTTTCGGATTGTTTGGTGCAAAAGGTTCTTCATCTGTTGGTTTCACAATGGCAACACTCACACCTCTTTTGTTTCTGAAATAATATGCTCCTCCAAGCCCACTATGAACAGGGAGAGGATCAACTCCATTCTTTATCCCCTTACCAATTTCCTTAACAAGTTGTTTCATCTTGGCATAACATGTTGACTTTCCCAATATCTCTATTGGGCTACTTTGATCTCTCTGTTGGATGTCCCTTGCAGTAGGAGAGAGACAGGGAGTTGACGAGCTTCTATGCATAAAGTTGCGAGTTAGAAGAAGATGAGAATCATTTCGAATGGCACTGAGGTCATTCTTCAACACCATATCGCCAAATGTCAAAGAACTCTCCTCGGTTGGAAAGTTAAGTGCAAGCTGCATCCTCCGCTTCACAGTATGTGCATTGTCACTCCGGTCCAACTCCATCCCCAAAACGCAACCCGTCTCTGTTTGTACAAAAACACGTCTCCTTCCTGCTGGCTTCCCTTCCATCCTGTTGGTTCCATTGTACTCCCCATTACCAAGTGGGCTTCTGAACACTGCTACAGCCATCTGGGTCTGAACTGGGCTATCCAAGTTAGGAGACATGAACCACAGAGAAAGACCAACAACGTTCTTCTCACAATTGGTAATAGAGATGGCAACAGAAGAGAGCTTCTCTGTCACTCTCAAATGAACGCCAAACTCAAATTCCAATTGCGTTTGAACCAGATAATTATCCAATCTAACGGTGATCATCAATCAGCAAGCCAAGATCCAAACCACTGCCAGCCAAACAATGCCAAAATACAGAACAAGGCACAGTAATGATTTAGAGAGAGACTGAGTCTGTGAGCACTACATCAAGAGGGCCATCTGTTGATTCAGACAAGTAACAAATATTGATACTTAAGAAATTAGAAAAAATAAAATAAAATCATAAAAGTGATTTATTGAGACAAATACCAAACAAATGCACCGCCGAGTTTTGTGAATATAAATCATGCCTTCAACAAGAATTCCAAAAATCTACCCATTGACCCACTAGGTTTCTCCATTTACCTTTATCTTGCTACTAAGGAAATCTAAGCAGGAAAATAATTTTACAACATGAATCTCAGGTAAGCAAAATCAACTACTCTCTATAATATTAATTTCACAATCAATGCCGAGCTATTTATTTCTTAAAAGAGTACATCAGCTTATACACGTAATTTACCCGTATTTAATAAACTAATTAAACAACATTACCGTCATTTATTCCAGTCGTTTTTCTCCAACACTTATCTTACAAATGGAAAACTTAATCCTATAATAGTTCTTCAAATAAAATAATTTCTTCCTCTCGAGAAATAAAAAGCGCAATCCAATTAAATGGTTCAAGAACCAATCCAAAGCTTTGATTCACACGATAATCACAAAAATAAATACAAAATTCAAAAAATTAACTTACCAGACGGCCAGATCTGAAGGATTATTGCTCCGTTTTTCTGTTTCCCTACAATATGTAGACCTTCCAACAAACTAAGATCAGAAAGTGCCGAATCAAAACGGTCGGGAAAACAGACAACACACGGTTCAACAGCTAGGATTTAATCCAAGATTTTCTCCCAAGAAATCCCCCTATTGTCCAAGCCACCGCAAACCCTCTTCTTCTTCCTTGCTCTACACTCTCTCACTTAATCCTCTCTCTCTCTATCCACCGCCTGATATATGTATATTTATATATAAAATCTTAGTTTTTTCTTTTCCTTTAGTTTTTTGGGTCTTCTCAGAATGTTCCTTTATACCTCTCTACAGTGACTTATTTTACGCGTGAGGTGCGGTTAGTCTAAAGAGACCCGGGTTATATATTGACACTTGTGGAAGCGTCTGGAATTTGGAATTTGATCCGTTTGATGAGAAGTGATTAGATGATCTGAGCCGTTGAAGATATGATGACGTGGAGATAAGTGATTGGGTATTGACGTGGCAAGCTTAGCGAATACCGGGGTCTTACAATTCACAGACCTAGATTGATTTTGACTATGAACAGTAAAGTTAATGGACTTAAATACCCTTCTCTATAAAAAAATGATTTTGCATAAAAGGACAAAAACTAAGTTTTCTCCCTTTCACTATTTGACCTTGTTAATTAGAGGGTTTAATTTTCACCACATTATAGAATATTTATAAATTGATTTTTTTTTTTGTGTTAAGATTTTAAAATAAACTATTTCATTTAGCCTCTGTTTGACACCCATTTTGAAAAAAAAAAAAAATTCTGAAATATTGATTGATGGAAAAAAGTGTGGTTAAAAAGTAATCAGAATTTTTGGGTTATGTGTAGTATTATTTTATTAATAGAATGTGTGGTTAAAATGAAGAATGTGAAAAAAATATGAAAATGAAAAGAAAATGGGTGTCAAACAGGGGTTTAATGAATTCGATTAGAAATGTAATGAAGCGTGATTCGACACAAATCCTAATAAAAAAATTACTTTTTTTAAATGAAGTATTATTTTCGAACAGTGTAGGTGAGACTTTTTTATCTTTTACAAATTGATGAATTATATCAATCTTTTGACCCTTGCATCTTTGAGGATTTAGATTTTAAAAGAAAATTGTGGAAAAATTTATTAGTTCACGTGACAGTATACATGTACTCTGTATTGGGATACTTTTTGTTATGTTAAGCTCTAAACGAAGATTTAAGTGAATCTTGTTAACCTAACATTGTTCACATTTCACATCTACTCTGAACGTAAAAAGAGTGAATACCAACGACGTTGTAATGGGACGTGTAAGATGAGCCAAGGGGTTTGATTTCTCAAGAAAAGCAAAGAGGGATTCCGCTGGTCAAGGTCATGGACAAGTCCAATTTCGGACTTGAATTTGATTTATGAAGATTTGAAATGGAGATGACTTCTTGTCACGCTTGTTTAATCTTATCATCAAAGTGTCTTAATCCGCAGGAGCATAGTGGACTTCTCTAAGTAGGGTCACAAAGTAGTAAATTAGTCATTTAATGGTTCTTAGTCTAAGATAGATTGGATCGTGTTACATTTTATGTATGATTATAAATTATCTATATGAATTATGATTGCATAAACATTTTAACAGTGTTAAGCTCTAAACGAAGATTTAAGTGAATCTTGTTAACCTAACATTGTTCACATTTTACATCTACTTTGAACGTAAAAAGAGTGAATACCAACGACGTTGTAATGGGACATGTACGATGAGCCAAGGGGTTTGATTTCTCAAGAAAAGCAAAGAGGGATTCCACTGGTCAAGGTCATGGACAAGTCCAATTTAATTTTATTTATGAAGATTTGAAATGGAGATGACTTGTTGTCACGCTTGTTTAATCTTATCATCAAAATGTCTTAATCCGCAGGAGCATAGTGGACTTCTCTAAGTAGGGTCACAAAGTAGTAAATTAGTCATTTAATGGTTCTTAGTCTAAGATAGATTGGATCATGTTAAATTTTATAATACTAATATTTAATAGATATACTTAGTAACAATAAGTACTTTTTTTAATTAATATTAGAGGGTCATATCACCAACCACTCATGTCAACAGTAGAAGTGGAAATTCAATAATTTTTTGTGATTCTGTAGGGAACATGATCTATGCCACTTGATTAAAAAGATGTAGCTATTTCTTGCTACATGTGGTGGCAGGCAATTTGTTTGTGACACATTTAATTAATCCCCATAATTAAGTTGAGCTTTTCGATGATTTTTTCTAATTTTGGTTGAAGATCTCCATAAAATTTTCATTATTTTTTAATTATAAAATATATGTCATCATCTCGTTATGAAATTTTAGTATCTGTTTGTTGCTCATTAGTAGAAGAAAAAGAACTGTTGGAACAGTGGTCATGCTTGCCATTTTTGATCATTTGTGTCTTGTTGGGACCCACAAAATTATAAGATTCTATTAAATATTAATTATTTAAAATACATAAAAGACAAACGTCAAATATTCTTAGTGTGTGTTTGTCTCCCATCATTGTAGAAGAAATAAAGTAATTGATAGTATTTTTTGAAAAATGTGTGGTTGAAATTTAAATTAACTTTATTAATTTGTGTGTTGAATATTTTATTGGGTGGATGTGTGGTGGAAAATCTTAATGTAGCAAACAATATTTTAAAATAATGAGAGATAAAGTGGGCCTTAATAACAACTACAGCTAACTCAAATCAAACAATAAACTCAATGTTAGAAATACTTTATAAATTTCATCGTTGATTTCTGAAATGCAAAGAAAGACAAATAAAAACCAGACTTAACATAAATACTTTATTGTCTATCTGAAACTAAAATCTAAGGATCCGTTTAATTGGTAAAGGTGGAAAGGCTTTCCAATTTCATGTAAGTTGGAAAATAAAAACCAAGGTACCCCCATATGAATGCATTTTCCAGGAAATTAGCAAAAAAATAAGCTTAAAATGGTTGTACTTTAGAATTCGAACTCTATTTCCACTTTCGTATCAAATAGTCAAAGTAGAAATTGGATTTCTCGAATGTGATATTTTCCATGGAATTTAAACCAATTAAACGAACCCTAAGTACATTTCCATTTTCAATTCATTTTTAAGATCATATAAAATTAACGTTAATTAAAAATATACTGTTTGAATACTTGTGATCAGTGGTGCCTGTAGACGTTCTTAAGGTGTTTTGATTTTTAGAAGTATTTGGATTCAAACTAGAGGATTCGATTCGTGGTCTACTGTACTGTATGATTAATAAGTGGGTAATCAGTTTTGTAACTATAAGTTAAGCATCGATACTTAAGAAACCAGAAAGAAAATGAGTTTAAAAATGTCACTAACGAAGAAATGCAACCGTTGGTTTCTACGAAGGACAACACATTTCAAATTAAAAAATCTAATTTTTGCCGTCGTGTTTTTGTTTTTCTTATCAAGTTTTGATTTGAGATAGTGACTTCCAAAAACTAAAATCAGCCAACACAAACAACTCAGCTTTACTCATTCACAACCAAACAATTTTTTGTACTTACTGAAAAATAGTGTCTATCAAGAAATATATCAAAGTTTTGGATACTACTATTCCCTTCCAAGAGTTATAATCTTCCTCGACTTCTTCATCATCATATGTTTAATTATTGACTTAACCTAAATGGACAAAACATATGGCTTCTGAAAAAGACATATACCAATTAGTAGGTCCATTTACATTTTTTATTAGGTGAAGATTTTGATGTAATTTAGGTGAAGAGATTAATTTGAGTCCCAAAAATGTTGACTAAAAAGAACGTATTTGACTCTCATTCTTGACTTTCTTGGCCTAAAGATGGGTTTGATATAAATTTATTCCCAATATCGTATGTTTGATTATGTACGCTACATTGCTCAAAACCACACTATGTGTCACATCGACAAATTAGGATAGATCACACGTTGTTTTTTATCAATATGTTTATCGAAACATAAAACGAATCAACCCCACATTAACCAGTCGATTTTGTTTTGATCTGGTTTCGTCGCAACATGTGAAATGTGATTCCCTATGTAAAATTTTCATTGATATTTAGTTTGGTTTAATTCTTGTTAAACAAAACAAGTCGCACCTTATCTATTACTACATTTGATCCGCAAAAGTACTAACACTATATTTATCGAACACGAGATTGCATCAATAATATACATTTATGAGCATTAAAAGATTCATTAATAACAACATTTTTGGATTACATTTTGGACATACTACAATTTTTAAAATCAAAACCAAGTTGAAATTTCTAT